GTATATATATATATATATATATATATATATATATATATATATATATATATATATATATATATATATATATATTTGTATATATGGCAAGCGAGATTGGGATAGGGAAGAGAGAGGCAAGCGAGATTGAGAGAAACAAGCGAGAGAGGGCAGAGAGTGAGAAAGAGGTGAACTTTATATGTATAACAGTTAGATAATTATATATTATACATATGTATTTGTATATTCTGGCAAATTATACATATACAAACGTCACTAATAATACAAACTCAAAGTTAACCCGTGTAATTAATGTATAATGTCAGTCGTGAGTGGTAATTATAGCAAACTATAACTATAAAGAATAATTAAATAGTATAAGTTTGTTTTACTTCGTAATTTTCTTTTTAAAAAAAGTGGGCTGACTCGACAAGTCTGTATCCATGTACATGTGGGTTGGACCAACTGTTTACTGGCCCACACAAAAAATGGGCAAGCTCGGCTTGGCCCGTAAAATGTCAAAGTTTGTATGGGTTAGCCCGAATGAGGTGGTCTAACCCATATTGACAGCTCTACTAGAAATAAAACCAATTCAAATTAAGAGTGTGTTTGGTATGAAGAAAAACATTTTTTGGAAAATGTTTTCCAATTTTCTCATGTTTGGTTGGGACAAAAGTTTTGGAAAATGTTTTACAAATCAACTCATTTTTCTCAAAATTAAGAAAAACATTTTCCAAAACTCTCCTCCAATTTTAAATTACATCTTTTTTGGATAAACAACAATTTAAAAAAAAAATAATTCAATTTTAAAATTTTATTTTTTTACCCGATCGCTGGCCCCAACCCACCCACCCACCAGCGGCCAGCCTCCCCCTCTCCCAAACCCCACTCCCTCCCTAAAAAAATAATTTTGCTTTTTAAAAATATTTTCAACTTCAAATTTTTAATTTTAAACTCCTATCACCTCCCCCCCCCCCACACACACAGCGACCTCCAAAAAAGTTAATTTTATTTTTTTAAAATACTATAAAGTTCAAATTTTTATTTTTTCACTCCTACCCCCCTCCCCCACCCACCACCATCATCCCAAATAAAAATTGTTTTTAAAAAATATTTTCAATTTCATAAATTATTTTCTACTGTAGTAACAATAAAAGATGTCTCTCAAAAATTTTTTTATTCATAAATCAAACACTAAATTCCGAAAAATATTTTTCTACTCACCAATCAAACATGAGAAAATAAGTCCAAAATCTACTTGTTTTCCAAGAAAACATTTTCGATGAAAAACATTTTCCTTCAAACCAAACAGGCTAATTAAATAAACAATCAATTAATGAGGAAGAAAAAATTGAATCCGAAAAGAAACAACTCAAATCGAAAATCACACATGAGCAATCTCAAGTGAATTCAAGGTTGAGATGTTCGAAATCAACAAATATGAATCCGTCCATCACTAATCTAGATTAAGTTACACTAAACTAAAGAGATTCTACCCTCAAACTACACCCTTAAAAATAGTTTTTTCATTCAACAATTAAAACCTTTATAATTTAAGTTTTCCAAAATAAAAAAGACTACTACTTTTAAAATAAAAAAGACACTTTATTTACAATTTTACTCTTGGTGAAATAAAGAGCCTTGTTTGATCGTCTTTCTTTTGTGAATTCTTGAAGTTATAAGATTACCATTTGCAAAGATTGACCTTTTTCTTCTTTCTCTTCACTTTGATGGACCTTCCATACATTGTATGTTTTTACTTTGTGTCCACCAAACTCCTCTAAAGTTTTTACGCGATTCATGTTATCTGCGTGGTCACGAGGGAGGGAGTTAGGGGCTATGAAGTTATCTTCACAACTTCACTTGAATGAACAAATCTCAATGAAGTTAAGAACAAATCTCAATGAAGTTAACATTTCAAAGTAGTTTTAAATAGTCCAAACATACAAAAAAATAAATTGATTATGAATTGATATTGAATAATTCAAATCCAGAGATGCATTAAATAAAAAGAAAACAGACATGCTTAATAATATCCCCATTGTGTACATCTTCAAATTATTATATCCTTATATACATAGAGAGAGAGAAATATAATATCTCTGCATTGAATATTTATATGTTATTTGTTCATAATTAAAGTTACTCTAGTCTTTATCAATAACACAATTATCACTAAAAGTAATTGAACTTCTAACTAAATCTGTCTTGAATTTCTAAAAATAATTTGCGATGGAAGAATATTATAACTTGATCTATAATTCATATATTTGTTCCTGATAGGCTAACAATCTTAGTTGCTATGAGTTTGCATGTTAAGTGTGAACGTCAATAATGTCTAGGGACATTAATGTTACTTGTAATAAATGAAGATTTGATATGTCTCGAGTTAATTAACTATACAAGTGGATAGCTCGAACATGTAGTTGTCCTCCTCTAGGATAGCAAAAGTGTCTTATCTTCATATGACGTTAAGTTACTTTAATCATAGTAATTGATGCATGAGCTTGAAAAAAATGCCACGAAGTTCAAGTAATTGAAGAGTTTGACGTTATATATATATAGAGAGAGAGGCGGACGCATATGGTGTCCGCCGGGTGCTCAAGCACCCGTTAACTTCGTTACGGAATATATATCTATGTAGAAATTGATAGGTATTTGTATAAAATTAACATAGAGCACCCAATGAATAAATGATTTAGTTTGCCCAATGGCTCTTCGATGGATACTTAAGACTTTTTTAGTGTTGTTGTACCAAGGTTCGAATCTCACTGTTAACACATTTTTTATATTTTCACTTTAGATCACCCACAACTTTTTATATTTTCACTTTAGATCACCCACAACTTTTTATATTTTCATTTTAGATCACCCACAACTTTTTATATTTTCATTTTAGATCACCCATAACTTTAAATTCCTATATCCGCCACTGTATAAATAAATGAATTGTTTAGGCTATTTTTCATGTATTTCAATTAACAAGTCTATTAGCTATTGGTTATTTATTATTAATAATATAAATATTGATTTAATAATCTCGTCCATTAAATTATTTATACTACTTTAGTTTTACAAAAAATTGAAATCAAAACCTAAGACATATGATACACTCAATTTACTTCATTAACTACGGTATTAAGTTACACCCTTGAACCTTGAGTTCAACTACTTATGAATATGGCACTATTAGCGGCAAGGGTCAAGGGTGCCGATTAATCACTTCACTAATAATTTTGTGCTATTTTATATAATTAAAAAGCAAAATTGTTTTGTTTCTTTTGC